AAATTTCATTTCATTCCTTAAATATTTGATACATTAAACAGAACGAGTAGCAAATGTTCATCGAATATTCATTGTTTGCTTTTTCCAACCAGACCTGCTTTCCCCCAATACATTACACAAGGTTTCTGAAATTAGGCTGTTTTAAAAACCTCTGATAGGGAAGCTGCAGTTCTGAGCAAACCATGTGGAATAAAGGACTCACATTGGGGTTATAACTACAATTTTCAAGGCATCAGTAAAGCCTATTTCTTTCAGCACTATTGCAGTTACCTTTCTTTTAGATCAACAAACTTGAAGAACTGATGTCCCATAGGTTAATAAACCTATTGTAGGTTAGTATAGTCTTGCATGTGTTTGTGCATGCACATCCCCCCCAACCCCCCCACCTCTCCACCCCCTACACAGCCCTTCCCTCTTAATGATTGCAAAACAGGATTTGTCAAGGACCAGACAGGACATAAATACATAACTGGCAGGCTGTTGTTGCAAGCAGGTCAAGCCTGAAAGTTGCCTTTGAATTTGAAAGTACAGTAGTACACTTATGTCCCTGAGATATAATAATCATTTTGCCCATGACTGGTAGCTAAATTAGAAATGCTACTGTTTAGGATAACTTTGAAAATTTCAATGTATCCTCAGGCCTTGAATTAAGGTAGGTGGGGAACCCTTTAAAGATTTTCTATGTCACTTGAATTTTTTTCCCCAGAAATTTCTCCTTAATACTAGGTTGGATTTCTGTTTGTTAAGCTTTCATCTGTTACTTCTTGAGGTACTTTGGCAAATAGGTTGACCCTTCCTCTCTATGATAGCCCCTCAAATATTGAAAGACTGCTATCATTTCACCCCACCCTCCTCCATGTTAGACTATTCCCAGTTCCTGCAACTGTTCATTGTACAATTTAGCCTCATTGTACAATTTAGCCTAATCATCTTTGTTGCTCTTCTCTGCACTATTTCTAGAGTCTCAATATCTTTTTTGTACTGTGGTGACCAAATCTGGATGCAGTATTCCAAGTGCGGTCTTACCAGTGCAGCATAAAATTAAGGAGAAATTTCCTGTCACTGCTTCACATGATCTTGATATAATCTTTCTGTTGATGCAGCCTAGGACTGCATTGGCCATTTTTGCAGTTGTGGCACACGGCTGGCTAATATTTAAGTGACTGTTCACTAGGATTCCTAGATCCCTCTTACAGATACTGCTGTTGAGTTGGGTACTACCTATTTTATACCCGTGCATTTGGTTTTTCTTGCCTAAGTGTGACGAAGATGACATCTGTTCAGTCAAGTCTCACTCGGCAATTCTATAGGCCAGGTCTCTCCACATCTTCTGATCTTGCACTATTTTTTTGAGTTTTACTATGCTCTGGTTTCCTTTTACCACTAACTCTTAATTGCTTTCTTTAGTGAATTCCAAAGTAAATGAGATGTCTGGTATTATGCGCCCCAATATTTGCTTGGACATGTCTTCTTGTGATATGTCTGATGTTATGCACTCCAATACTTGCTTGTTAATTACTTTTGCTGTCCAAGGAATATGCAGGAACCTTCTCCAGCATATTCCAACACATCTCAGATGAGTCAATTTTCTTCCTGCCTTGCTTTTTTAACTTTTACAACTATAGGTAGCTATTGGGAACACAATAGAGCAAACTAACCTACATTTGGTTGTCAGGCTGATGTCCTTGCTTTTCCACATTTGGCTGATGTTCATCATTGCTATGCGACCCAGTACAATCCAACATTTTATTTCTGTGCTGCATTCACCGATTTGAGCTATCTGCAATCCTAAGAAAGTGAATTTTTCTACATATTCTATCTCTTCACCACTAGATAGTTACCGGTCCATGGCCTGAGGGTTGGGAACCCCTAAACTGTTGACTAATCCTCCCAGCTTGGTGTTATCTTCAAATTTGATGCGTTCCCTTCTATGCTTTCATCTAAAATGTTTATGAAGACGTTGAAGAGTACTGGGCCTAAGATAGCACTTTCAGGTACCCACTGCATGCTTCCTTCCATGCCAATGTAGTTCCATTGAAGACTACACATTGAATGCAATTGGTCAGCCAGCCAGCCAGCCAGCTACAAGTCTATCCACATTTTTCTATCTTACCAAGAAGTAAGTTGTTGTCTACTTTGTCAAATGCCTTACTAAAGTCCAGGTATAATATGTCCACAACATTTTGCTGGTCCACTATTTTAGTCACTTTGTCAAAGAATGCAATGTTTGCCTGGCATGATCTGTTTCTGACAAATCCATGTTGGTTTCTAGTAATAGTTTTGCCTGTTTCTAGGTGTTCACAGATCCATTGCTTAATTATCTTTTCCAGAGTCTTTTAAGATACCTTTTAAGATACCTTTTAAGATACCGGGATACCTTCGAGACCGCCTCCTGCCACAGATTACCTCCCATCGGCCTGTACGCTCCCACAGGGTGGGCCTCCTCAGGGTGCTGTCGGCCAGACAGTGCCGGCTGGCGACCCCAAGGGGGAGGGCCTTCTCTGTGGGAGCTCCCACCCTCTGGAATGAGCTGCCCCCAGAGATCAGGGTGATCCCTGATCTCCCTTCCTTCCACCGTGCCCTTAAGACAATATTTAAATATTTCTTTTTAACTAATTTTAAATTTTGTAATTGTTTTTGGTGTATTTTAAATTGATTGTCAGCCGCCCTGAGTCCGCAAGGAGAAGGGCGGGATATAAATTCAAACAATAAATAAAATAAATAAATAAAGATATTGATGTCAAGCTGATTGGTCTATAGTTTCTTGGGTCCATTGTTTCCCCATTTTTGAAGACGGAAAAACATCACCTCTTTTCTAGTCTTTTGATAGCTCTCCAGTGCTCCAGGATTTTTATAAAATATTTTTTATTAATTTTTTATAAAATAAGTTAGAAGGCCCCCAACAATATTTGGATGGTGGATGATGGATGGAAAAATTATCTGTCGTTCTGTCAACCTCCATCAAAATAATGTCTCATACTGTTCCCTTTTAACGAAAGCTACTATTAGAATAGAATAGAACTGGAAGGAACCTTGGAGGTCTTCTAGTCCAGTCTCCTGCTCAAGCAGGAGGATCTATACCATCTCAGACAAGTGACTGTCTAGCCTCTTCTTAAAAATCTCCAGTGATGGAGTGCCCACCATTTCTGGAGGCAAGCTGTTCCACTGGTTAATTGTCCTCACTGTCAGGAAGTTTCTCCTTAATTCCAAGTTGCTTCTCTCTTTGATCAATTTCCAACCAATGTTTCTTGTCCTTGCCTCTGGTGCTTTGGAGAATAGTTTGATGCCCTCTTCTTTGTGGCAGCCCCTCAAATACTGGAATCTGCTATCATGTCTCCCCTATTTCTTCTTTTCTTTAGACTAGCCAAACCCAAGTCCTGCAGCCATTCTTCGTATGTTTTAGTCTCCAAGCCTTTCATCATCTTAGTTGCTCTTCTCTGAATTTTTTTTTCCAAACGCTCAACATCTTTTTTGTGATATGATGACCAAAATTGGCTGCAGTATTCCAGTTGTGGTCTTACTAGGGTTTTATAAAGTGGTACTAATACTTCACATGATCTTGATTCTATGCCTCTGTTTTTACAACCCAGGATTGTATTAGCTTTTTTGGCTGCTGCTGCACACTGATGGCTCATAGTCAAGTGATTGTCCACTAGGGCTCCAAGGTCTCTCACAGTTACTGTTTTTAAGCCAGGTCTCGCCCAATCTGTACTTGTACCTTTGATTTTTCCTGCCTAAATATAAAACTTTGCTTTTCTCCAAATTGAAACTCATTTTGTTGGATAGGGCCCATTGTTCAAGTTTGTCAAGATTTTTTTGGATCCTGAGCTTGTCTTCTGGGGTGTTGGCTACTCCTGCCAGTTTGGTGTAATCTGCAAATTTGATGAGTTTCCCTTCAATTCCCTCATCTAAGTTATTGATGAAGATATTGGAGAGTACTGGGCCTAAGACGGAACCTTGTGGTACCCCACTGCTTACTTTTCTCCATGTAGATGTAGTGCCATTGAGGACTACTTGTTGAGTACGGTTTGCCAGCCAGCTACAGATCCATCTGGTGGTGATGTTGTCTATTCCATCTTTTTCTAGCTTACCAAGGTCTACTTTATCAAATGTCTTACTGAAATCTAAATATACTACGTCCACAGCATTTCGCTGGTCTACTAGTTTAGTCACTTTATCAAAGAATGAAATAAGATTGGTTTGGCATGATCTGTTTTTAACAAACCTGTGCTGGCTACTAGTTATAACTTTGTTTGCTTCTAGTTGTTTGCAGATCTGTTTTTTTATTATCTTTTCTAAGATCTTCCCAGGTATTGATGTTAAATCAATTGGTCTGTAGTTTCCTGGGTCTGTTTTTTTCTCTTTCGTGAAGATGGGAACCACATCAGCCCATCAATACATTAATACTATTAAATATTACTAGATGTTTATTGTTAATAAAATCCAGAATTGTGCAGTAATTATTTTCTTACGGAGAAATTTGAGCTGACTTGTCATATCTATCTATCTATCTATCTATCTATCTATCTATCTATCTATCTATCTATCTATCTATCTATCTATCTATCTATCTATCTATCTATCTATCTAATCTCTTATCTATCTGTCTATCTATCTATCTATCTATCTATCTCTATCTATCTAATCTCTTATCTATCAGTCTATTTGTCTGTCTTCTGTATCTATCTATCTATCTATCTATCTATCTATCTATCTATCTAATCTCTTATCTATCTGTCTATCTATCTATCTATCTATCTCTATCTATCTATCTATCTATCTATCTATCTATCTATCTATCTATCTATCTATCTATCTATCTAATCTCTTATCTATCAGTCTATTTGTCTGTCTTCTGTATCTATCTATCTATCTATCTATCTATCTATCTATCTATCTATCTATCTATCTATCTATCTATCTAGCATCCATCCATCCATCCATCCATCCATCAATCCACCCCTCCATTTACACTCATACACACACAGACACACACACAGACACACACACACACATACCTTGAATTGCTTCTTTATACAGATAAAGAAGAATTCTTTGTTCCTGCTCCCAGCTATTTTGAAGTGGTGTACCTCAACCCAGATAAACCTGCTGTGATTCCCTGCCGAGTCACCAACCCATCAGCAAAAGTAACTCTTCACCAAGAGTTTCCAGCAGAAGAAATCAAAGTGGATGGGACCAACATTATCTATGATGCCAAGAAGGGTTTCATCTACCAACATCCAACCTCTGATCAGAAAGGAATAGTTTACTGCAGAGCTGAATCATGGGGGACACCTCAGATTTCTATTAAATACCAATTGCTTTATGTTGAAGGTAAGTTAATTCCAAGAAACTTGGTATGCAGTAGAATACTTTTGATGTTATTCAGTTGAAGCAGTAAGAAGTCACACCTTGGTTATGTTTTCTTGATGGGGCCACAAGGAATTAAAATGATGGAATTACTGTATATCATGCAGATGGGTAGATTGTTTTTGATAGCTTCTCTGAGTTCCTATTTTAATTTCCTTGTGGAAAACACAAGAAATCACACAAGTGTCAAATTTTGGAGATCTGCCACCAAATAGCAGCGTAAGTTTGAGATTCCAAGGTATAAAGGCAACATGGGGATTACATACAGTAGGAGGAATATCTGTCTATTACAAACCATGACAGAGTTTTGCACATCTAACTTATATTAAAATAGCTCTTGTAGAATAGCAGGAAGAGAACTATGTTAGATTATGATACCAAATAAAAATCAGGAGTCCTTGATAGCACCTTTTCCAACTAACAAAATTTAAATCTTTGAATGAAATTTGTTAGTCAAAAAAGTGATAAGAAATTAGGCTCATTGAGTTATGCCCTCAAGAAGTAATTTTATGGTCTCTTGAAAATTATGCTTTGTTACTGCATAAGCATTTATAGTTCGTAAATCACCTCATCAGATCCAGTGATGTGGTCTTGAGAAATGAGCATGATATATAAAGGTTGTGCAAAGCTTCCAGTAGAAGTGTTTTGCAAAACACATTCATGCAAATGAAGCACTTGTTGAAATTTAGAGAAGCCACCCTCGGAAGAGTTATGTGCCTACTCTGAAGTCTGTTCACTCACTAGGCTTCTGTTTTTTATGTATAGTACACTTCTGATGTAACAATCCTTAAAGCAGTCATGTTTTGGAAAATGCTTTGCATAGGTCTGTTATTTATATATAGAGGTATTCTTTAGGGGAGGAAAAGGGATATGATGGAAAATTGGACAATCAGAGTAAATAATGACTACATATTTAAAAAAAAAGTGCCAGGCACAGAATTACTATGTGCTTATACAATAAAGGCACAGTTTATTGCCTAAGTACTCAAAGTAATATAGATCAGAAGAGATATTCCTCCATTTATGACAGCAGTTGGGACCAGAATTGACATCACTAAACAACATGGTATTAAAGATTGATGTCCTGGGATGGTATCACTTAGTAATGGTAGTTCTGGAAGTCCTGGTTGCTATCTTTAAGTAAGAACCGTGCTTGTCTTTAAGCAAGAAACTTAAATGACCACCACTCCCCAATTCCTCTCAATCTTCCCACTTCGTGGGAAACCAGCAGGGAACATCAGAAATCATGATCGCATAATTGCAGAGATAATGTGTGGGCCAGAACTCAGCACCGGTCATAAGTCCTCCTTGTTCAGTGTTGTTGCAACTTTGAAAGGTCACTGAACGAATGGGTGTAACTCCGGGACTGCCTGTATAACCAGTCCTGGAAGAAGGATTATTAAAATAGAATATTGAACAATTCAAGCATGAGAAATTCCACAAGTGTTTACTAGATTGGTGAACCAACAGCCACCCTTTCAAATTCTAATAATCTTTTTTTGCACAAGGTAGGAGTGTAATAATTGAAAATACATTTCTGTTCCATTCTTGTCTTGTGAAAGCTAATTTTTAATCTGTGTGAATATAATGGGGCCACCTTCAAAGCAACTTCACTTTTCTTCTTTTCTTTTTATCTTATCTTTTGCTTTGAATTAGTTCCTTATGGACCTCCTTCAACTACAATCAAAGCATCATCTAATAAATTACAGGGCGGGGGTGATGTTAATGTTTTGTGCACAGTTTTGGGGCAGCCAGATATAGAAGTGGAATTTAATTGGATATATCCAGGGCAACAGGTATGTACCATAGATTTTGTTTCCTTTGCTTATTTCTTAAAGTCTAAACTGGAACATTAAATGTGTATTACTATGCGGAAGAGTGGATTTTAGATAATTGTGGAACAAAGCAATTAGCTACAGAAATATATTCAATTGCTAGAAGAGATTTCAGTATAAGTTAAATATTAACCTATGTTTCCATTACTCTAAGCCTAGAAAGATAATTAGATAGATTATTTAGTACAAAATGATAAACAAATTGGCTATCCCTGTTTTAGAGGGAAAAAATGTTAGAAAAAGGCACGGATAGGCAGCAAGATTGCAACTGTGTTACAGAATTGGCAGTCAAAATTAGATTATGCAAAATTAGATTATGCAAGTGTTTTATAACTAAGAAGTCTTGCTAGAAATTATCTTTGAAATTCCCCAACGATTAGTTTCTTACAGAAAAAGGTTTCTTTGCCAACGAAAAACATAAAATATTGCATGTTTATTGTGGAATCCTTGGTGCTCTCTGAACTTGATTGCTTTGTTGCAGTCATTTCATCAGTTTGTAGCATTGATGATGTAGCCTAGCTGGGTAATGACATGCCTGCAAGAAAACAACCAAGCCCAGAAAGCACCAAGGATCCCTCAGTTCAATATATGAGTTACGTATATTCTTTTCTATGTATTTTTTTATTGGTTAACTAATTTCTTTTGCATGTTATTATTGATTAAGTGATGCTGTTGAAAATGAACTGATCACACCAGTGGTGGGATTCAAATATGTGAACAACTGGTTCTCTGTGTGGATGCTGCTTCCGGAAGTCCATTCTGGGCCTGGGCAACAAAAAATTAACTACCGGTTCTGCCGAAGTGGTGTGAACTGGCTGAATCCCACCACTGGATCACATTAGAAAACAGGAGACTGTGAGGTCAAGTGCTGCCTTAGCCATGAAAGAGAGTTGGGTTCCTTGAGGCAGTCAATCTCTCTCAGCCCAAACCATCTCTCAGGGTTATGGTTGTAGGTAAAAATAGGAGGAGGGAGCTATGTTGGATAAATTCTCTATTTTGAGTTATTTCTAAAAATAATAAAGGCAGGATACAAAAAAAAAACAATACTGAGGCTGTAATGTTAACACAACTAATTGGTCTGCATATCAAATCATCCTGTAAAGAATTGAGAACTTTGGTAAGAATGGCAGATCATTTCCAGTCATTGCATTCTATAAAATGCATAGGGATTTTTCATTGGTGATTGATTTTGGATCTAAACTTATTGATGAAGCTTGAAATACACAAGCTTAGCTAAAGTCTAATTTAAGTAACCAAATCCAACAAAAGCAATATAAGGCCTTGTAGCCACTTAAAATAGATCTGTGATGGCATAAGTGGTTGTATGGGTGTTGGGCAATGTGGGAAAAAGGAACAGTCCCAGTCCCATCCTTTCTACTTTCAGTCTTTGTCTGAAGGGAAATGTACACTTGCATACATAGCTTGCTGTATTAATTCTCAGGTCATTCACACTGGCTGTCTCATTCAATGACTATTCAGAATTATGATAGGGTTGAAAACAATAACTTTATAACCTGCCTGCATTTGCAAACTTTGCAGCGCCCTTCACATGACTGTCATTACAGTCAGTATGCACTGTCCTGTGCCTGATCAGTGATTTCTCCCCCTCCCACTTACAGAGTGAAGAGATTAGAGAGGAAGGGATTACAAGAGAGCAAGAGTCACACAATGGCAAAAACATATTGAAAGAAATGTGAGGACATCAACTCCAAGTGTTCTACACAAATAGCCCAGTGTATTCACCATTGTGTGATTGACTACTCCAATCTCTTCTCCAATCTCTTCATTCTGTGAGGAGGTGGTGGGGAGGAAAAAAAACAGGCCAGCCACAGGAGAGATTACCTACAGAAATTGGTTGGCTTTTTTTTTTTTTTTTTTTAGCCTCGCACATGTTTAAGTAATCTCTCTATTCTGCATGAGGGTGGGAAGAAAAAAAACCCAATCAATCTCTGTAGGAAACCTCTCTTATGACTGACCTCTCCTATGACTGACCCACTTCTCCTCTTACAGAATAGAGAGATTGGAGATGAAAGGATTACAAGTGAGTAAGCAGGCACAAAATGGGGAATAAACTTGGCTGTTTGCATAGTAGGTTTGGGGTTGCTGGTGCCATCACATTACTTTTGATGTGTATTCCCCACTGTGTGCCTGTTTACTTTCTTGTAATCCGTTCCTCTCCAATAAATGTAAATACAAACATTAATTTCCTTCTTTCTTGCTAATTATCCCAGCACAGAGTGAGCATTCCAAAGAGCAATAGGGGCAGTAGGGGGAGGGAAGACCAAGCATTGTTAAAAGGCCAACAAAGGCGTGAAACTGATTAGTCTTGCCAGTTACAGGCAACCACTGTGAGCTTGCTATCCCAGCACCAATGTGAGCATTCCAAAGAACAGGAAAGTGGGGGAAAGGAAAGCACAGTCACCGACATTTGATTTCCATTTAGCCGTCACTTTATGACAGAGCTGCTGGTCCCAGTTGTGATGCAAGCAAGGAAGTACAGCTCCTCTTTAGACTTCCTGCCTAAATGTGTGAAGTCTACAAAGAAGAAATGATAGAATGATTATTATAATCTAATTTCTTATTCCTTACATAAAGCATGCTGCTGGGCTTATAAATATTTATAGTAAATCATGTAAATTCAAGAGATGCAAACTTTAATACTTACATTCTAAATTAAGCAATCTCTCTGGCAGGAATGCAAGAGAGATCAGTCTTAAATTGTGTCATATATTTCTTCCAAATATGAAGCCTAATATGAATTATTTAAAAAACAAAACATAAATAAATATGAAGGCATTTGTCAAATCATCTGCCTTACCTTGCCTCTTTTATTGGTTGTAATTCAGATTAAAACTACAATGCATGTTTTAGGTTAGTAGAAAATAAAGTTTGCAAATGAAAAGAGGTGGGTATTTATTTATTTTTTTTTGCAGAATTCTACACCATGTAATGTGTTGTCTTCATCTTTTCAGTATAAAAGACCAGTAAATATCCAAGACTCTTGGAGGTTGATTGATAGAGGAGTTGGTCATACTACAAGAATCTCTGAGAGCATTATTACTGTTGAAGATCTGGAAACCATTGATGCTGGAAACTATGTATGCATTGCTCAGAATCTTCGAGGACAAACCACAGTAGCTACTCAGGTTGAACTAATCTGAGGTCTCCAGGCAGATGGAACAAGAAATAGACTGACTAGTTCCTGACTAGCTTTAAAACTGGAACTGGAAATACATTGGACCAAAA